AGTTAATTCTCTGTTTGTATGATCTTAAACTTCACCATTATTTCTGTCACATTACACACATCCGAAGGTTAGGCCTAACCGTTTGGCCGCCGCGCCAATAGTCCATAAACCTTCAAAACCCTAAAAGACTCTTTTGATCACAATTGCTTCCACCGGGTTGGGTCCGGAGGTAATGACCGGCCCAACCCTTTTATTTTTTCACTTTCTTTATCAAATTTTTAAAAATATTTAAGTTGGTTCATTTTCTATAATATAAAAATTAAAAACATTTTCTTATAATATTAAAATAAAAAAAAAACATTTTTTTAAAATATTAAAATTAAAAAACATTTTAAAATATTAAAATTAAAACAATTGTTTATTCATATTTGTTTTTTTAGTTGATTATATTAAAAAAAATTGTTAATTTCTTATTATTATAATATTTGGATTAATTTTGTTTATTCCTATTTACTAACCCATTTATATTCTAATCATGCTTATTATTTTGTTAAATATCGCTTACTAACCCCCTTTATTATTTATTATTGCTTATTTATATTTTATTTATCTTTGCTATTTAATTATTTTGCTTATTATTTTGTAATTGTTTCTTGGATGTAAAGTTGTTTAATTATTTAATTATTATTATGGTTAGTAATTAGGGAGTGTAACAACATGTATGTAATATTAAAATAAATTTAGATCACTTTTAAATAAAGATAATTAAAATAAACACGTCACACACGTAAGTCGATTTTAATCGCCGTCTCACTTCCTAAGGATATCCCTCAAGTTGCCTACGAATAATGGTTAAGTGGGGTGTATAAAGCAAGTCCCTCAAATGGAAAAATCATCAAAGTCCCTTATGGTTGCCTTTACGAATCAAGTCCCTTTCGAAAAATGATGATGGTCCCTTATATGTGCTTATTACATCCCACAATGGCCTTCAAAGTCAAATTGTCCCTCACATGTCCCTTAACATCCAAAGTAAGGACTACCTACTCCATTATAGTAGGGATAGTCTTACTAAAGGAAAGAATAAAGAATAAGAAAGACCTTTAAACATTAGGGTAGGTTACTCCTAGGTGCTTGCTCACTTCAAAACTGTTTCACACTTAAACAAATTTTCAACAAGTTTTCAAACAAGTTCTTAACACATCCTTACATGGATTATTTATTAACTATTCTGAAAATTTTCTATTCACACACTACACTTTCAAAACAATTCAAAAGTGAGCTTAAGTACCTAAGAGCCCATGGATAACCATGGATGAAAAGGGTGCTAACACCTTCCCTTTTCATAACCTACCCCCCGGACCCAAAATATTCTCTAAGGTCTTTCCTGTTCTTTTATAACCTTTCCTTATGGATAAAATAAAAGTCGGTGGCGACTCTTGCTATCCGCAACATTGTTTAAAGTCAGTTCTCCCACCGTGTTACAGTTTCCTGTCAAGATTTCCATATCCAACATATTAATATATAACCCACGACATAATGATTGCGTCCCATTACACAACCCATATCTAGGATCTAGATTTTGCAACAACATCAATGGTTCACCCTTTTTTATCTTTAGAATATGTGGGGGCAAACTACCTTGTGCAATTGAGTTTAAGAATTCTTGCTGGTATAAATTATTATTATCCCTTTCAACCTCGTCAAATGATAACAAATTATGTTCTTCTCCTGGAACTGGTCAATAATTATATCATTCAATTTATGGACATCATCGTTTGTTAGGGTCAAAATAGCTCTTTGTACCATATAAAGGGCATCCCAACCATGCAATTCTTAATCAGGAAAAACATGTTGTATAAGCACTTGTATGGAATGTTCACCTTCCTATGGGACTGCAATCTGTGAAGGAAACCTCACCATGTCATATGGTTTGGTAGGTTCAACATCATCACCAATGTGCATAAGAAATTCTGCAAACTCTTGATCATACAATGATCGCATATTTTGACGCAATCGCAAAATTTTGGTATGAGCCCATAAATGAGACTGAATAATACACACAGAAATCATTTGTACCTTAGTACCTTTTCTTACAACAGGAAGAACTTGAAGAAAGTCTCCCCCACGATCATAACGTTTCCTCCAAATGGATCATTTTTGCTACAAATGTCTTATAATGATCGATCTAAGGCTTCCAAACAATTTTTGTTTATCATTGGGGCTTCATCCCAAATTATTGCAGCAGAAACCCTAATGAGATTTGCAAGATCATTTTGCTTTTGAATACCACAAGATTTGCATTTCTACCACCGGGTAACAACGTTGCAGTTATACCAGATGATGCAGTTGCCAAAACAATTTCTCTTCTACTTCTTAAACTTGCCATTAATGTTCTATAAAGGAATGTTTTACTTGTTCCTCCTGGACCATCAACAAAAAATACCCCACTGTATTTTTGATTAATTACATTCATAATGGTTTTGAACGCAATCACTTGGTCATTATTTAACTTCGCAACAGATTCAATATCTTCATTGGGGATATCGACCGCTAACTCCTCTTGTATGAGACTTGGAATTGAATCTCCTTATACTATATCAAGCGGTAAAGATGGGAGATCATAATCTTCAATCTTTTTACCGTGCAGGTTTAAGAGTTCATTCAAGTCCTTCAACAACATATTAGTCAAAACCGATTCCACAACATTGTTTGTTGTTTGATAATCCTTTGTCATATGTGTAAAAAACTCATTCTAAAGGCTTCTAACATCAGTAGGTTCACAAAATATGAGATTCGTCACGAATAACCTCCTTAAAGCATATGGCATTCGGAGACTCGCCGCTTCAACCAAACAATCATGAATACTATGATCAGTCTCTAGAAATCGTCTATCCTCGGCTGCTTTTTTGAATGTACTGAAAGAAGTGCCATTATTTGTAAGAAGATATTCCCAACTAGTTGGACCTTTGACATGAGATAACAGTACTCACAAGTAAAACTTCTATGCCTCCGAAGGTGATACCGTATAAATTCTCCCGATAACTTTTCTTAGTGACCACCTGCGATGCCATTCCTTGTCTCTATTATTCCAACAATAATGCTCTAGAATCTCTCTATACAAATAATTTCTTGCTTCTGGATCTCTTAGATTTAAATAAAAGAATTGTGTGAGCATTGTTTTGGAATTTCTTTCATTATTTAGCAAATCCACAATTCGTTGATGATCATAAAAGCGCACTTGACGGCGGTTCGGCAAGCGGATCTGTAATCTTTCAACAGAAGGACATAATCGGTAAAGAGTGAAGTGAAATATTTTCCATAATGGCTCGGGAGCACAAATCCATCTTGCATCAACATATTGTTGAACTCCATCCATGTATGATCCTTTGTGAACCTCCATAGCCACATGATCAGGGCCCTTGTACACATATTTGTATAGATACTTGATACTTTTAATGCTACTGCATATCTCTACATTGATGTGGCAGTCATACTTTAACAGTAACCAAGGGTTATAAGGAACCACCCATCTATTGTCGACAAACCTATCTCTACCTAACGATATATGTTCATCAAACCTTCTCCTGTACTCAGGATATGAGTCAGTGCCTTGACGTGTTTCATCCAAGAAGTGTTCTGGATATCTTTTTTTACAATGTTCGTCTTTCATACATGGGGACTTCCAGTTCATAACGCCGCAAGGTCCGTGGATCATATGTTTTAAAACCGCTTCAAGCAACTGTGGTTCACATTCTAACTTGGGTATTTCTGCTCTTACCGCACTATCATACTCTTCTGGGCCATGCAATTTGTCATTACTTTCTAAGACCAACAGCATATGCACATGAGGCAATCCTCGTTTTGAAATTCAGTGACATGCATGTAGCTTTTAACCTTTCCTAAGACTCCTTTATTAATAACATCATCCTTTAATTGCTCGAATTTCGAACGAAATATTCTTGTTAGCAAATCTGGACGATCTTGTGGTGTTTGAAAAGGCAAAAGTTATGATGTTATCTCACTCCAAAAAGGATTGCATGTCATTGTCAGAAAAACATATGGTTTACCGCCATGAAGAACAATAGCCATGCCATCTTCATAGCGTTGTGTCATGTCTCGACGACCTCCAATAAATGATTATGGCAATATTGGTCTTTTTCCAATGTTTTCTATGGTGATTCATGAAATGTATTAGTTTCAGAATACATGAAAGATTATCATTATAAGTACAACAACTAACTAGTAATCTAAAAATATATATTTATGCTACATTATTTGGTACCTGCATTAGTTTCACCGAAATGCAAAGCATCCTGTAAACCTTGGTACACTTCAGCACGTATATCACGTTAGTGCTCTCTAATCCACCTTAACCTCCCTGATTCAATTTTGACATAATTGTCTACAACATATTGTTGCAACAGTCGACCCGCATTTAACAACATTGATTGATCATTTGGGTGAATCTACAATTGATTGAAAAACATGTCGGCGTTAAAAGTGATGCGTTTTAAACTACGCTTATCTAAGTATACTATTTACTAAAATTAATCTAAATTTACCTGAAACATGTAACTGTAATATGCTCGACATGAAAATCTTCGTCCATTACAATTTGTTGTGTTAACGTTCCAACCATGTGTCCCAAATGGAAACAATATAGGATATTGCAATGGATCATAATATCCCTTTGTCTCTTGCACTTTCTTTAGATTTCCATCACGACGAATGACATTAATATTCCTTCCATATTCCATAGAATCTGAATCTCCTCCAACAATAATTGCCGCAACTTGTTCTGCAGTTGGAAGATTATATTGATGGTGATTACTTGGATGCTCTTTAAGTATGAAGCTACATTCACCGGTATTTGGAAGTTGTAACAGTTGTCTGAACCTAATTACAAAAGGATTAAACTGATGGAGCATTTTTTGTAATTTTTGAATTACATTTTGGTGGAGTTGTGGATTTTCTTGCATTCTATTATGTAACTCATTATCTGTGTTGTAGATGTATAGTTGTAAGAAACGCGGTCTGGCACCCTCATTTGGATAGAAACCTCATATTTTATGGTAAAAAGCACCTTGAGCACAAAATGTATATATACCACGACCATATGCAAGAATATTCTCATCAACGTGAACACCAATTGAAGTGGATGAGAGCACATGGTTGTAACTTCGAATATGTTGCCTAAAATGCTTTCCTTCTACTGAACCATCCAAAAATAATTGTTGCAATTCTATAGGAGCGTTAACTCGTGAAAATGATACCTTTCCACCAGTACAACACATATCACGTGATTCATGATGAAACAATTTCACATTGCAATATCTACAGGAAATTGGATTAGGCAACTGGAATTTTGCCATCATCGAATTATTTTTGGAATTTCGAGCAATATTGTGTCTTGCTCGAAAAGCGCGTCCTGATTCTACAGGGAGGAGTTTGATATTGATTACTAAATATTATCTAAAATCTAAAATACAAATAAATAATTAACGTAAGATTCCTAAATTAGAAGATTTAACATTGCATAATTTTCAGTTTTATGTCACTTGAGTATAAGCTACATTATTTGGCACAAAAATATTTATGAACATACCTTGAGGATGACATGATGCACCATCATTTATGGCTTCCATGTTAACATCTGATATTACTACATCCTCCAAAGCTTCATCAACATCCATATCGCCTGATACAAAAAAAAATTAACATATATATATATATATATATATATATATATATATATATATATATATATATATATATATATATGTGTGTGTGTGTGTGTGTGTGTGTGTGTGTGTGTGTGTGTGTGTGTGTGTGTGTGTGTGTGTGTGTGTGTGTGTGTGTGTGTGTGTGTGTGTGTGTGTGTGTGTGTGTGTGTGTGTGTGTGTGTGTGTGTGTGTGTGTGTGTGTGTGTGTGTGTGTGTGTGTGTGTGTGTGTGTGTGTGTTGAAATTACTGCTCGCATACGTAGAACAATATCCCGTATACCTGTAGCAGAGTGAGCATTGATGATACGTTGGTTAGGTGATGTGCAATTATGATCTGTGGGTTTAAATACATAAAATTAGAGATGACAAATAAACAATATTATACAATGTACGGTTATAATGTCTATATTGATCATCATCAACCAAGTGCAACATCATTAACATGTGTAATTCTACTTGGGCCGACTTCATTGTCATGAGTTCCTTGAAAGTGTGATATTGGAGATCTCATATTTGTAAAATTTTGAAATGGAACTCTCCTCCGACTATTCATAGTGCGAGATGTTTGAGCTTGTTTATCTTGCTCTTTTCGCCACCTATAATTCTCACGTCGTATCGATAAATACTTTTCTCTTTGCTCGATGTTCATATTTTGTCTCCTCTTCCTTTCATTTTCGGCCCTTCTTTCCCTTTGTTGTTGACTTGATATCTGACGGGTATTATTTTCCATTTTGTTAATGTAACTGCCAAACACATACGCAATTTATGAGCAACATAATTTCACTAATTATGTTGAAAAATATTGATAAATATAGATGGGATTTAAAATAAATATATCAATTTTTTGGAAAAAAGAAGTTTACACCAAAAAAGTATTATTTGTAAAACATATGTTACAAATATAAATCAAAACTAAAATATAAAAAAGACGAAGAAGAAATAGGCAATCAATAAAAAAAACATAAATTATATGTTGGAAAAATAGATGAAAAGATTGGATATTAACTAAACATTAAAATATAAAATGGGGTAAGAAATGAAATTAGTTTAATTTATGTTATAGATAAAAGATATATTAAAATAAAATGAGAAAAGATAGGATTATATTCCTTGTAGGTTCATAATAATATTTTTATATTACTCCAAATTATTTTATATTTTAGTTAACTCATAATATTATCATTGAAGCTTTTTTCATTGATCAAAAATAAATTTTTATCTTTTTATTAATTAGTACAATAATAATGTTTTAGCAATAGGTTATTTGAATGTATTAGTATTAAAGATAAAAATTGAAGGAATCATTTTAAAAAATTGCCAAATTTCTTGTAGTCTTAATTGTGTTGTCTAATACTACAGTTGTAAAAATAATAATCTCTATCCTATTTGGTTAACCTCTAAATATACTTAACCTCTACCCTATTTGGTTAATCTCTAAATATACTTAAACTCTATCCTATTTGGTTTACCTCTAAATATATTTGACACAGAAGCCTTAATTGTATGGTGTGTGTATATATATATATATATATATATATATATATATATATATATATATATATATATATATATATATATATATATATATATATATATATATATATATATATATATATATATATATATATATATATATATATATATATATATATATATATATATATATATATATATATATATATATATATATATATATATATATATATATATATATATATATATATATATATATATATATATATATATATATATATATATATATATATATATATATATATATATATATATATATATATATATATATATATATATATATATATATATATATATATATATATATATATATATATATATATATATATATATATATATATATATATAGATGATACATGAAAATTTTGAGTATGCATGTATCTATTATCACTAAATACAACCTATTACAACCATATAATATTCTAGTTCTCAACAATTCAAATTAAAGATAATAAACAATTTTTATAATGGCTTGATCGATAGAATAAATTTTTACTTATTATAATAAGACTATCTTAATAAATAATCTTTTGTGTTTCCCAATATAATAAACAAAGACTGAATTACATATAATAATTCTTCATAGCGTTTTCTTACAAATTCTGCACATATAATTTTGAATTGGAGTTAAATACCTTATATTCTTTACTAAGGCATGAATCTGTTGGTGCAAAGGTAGAATAAGTGATGAAAGGTAGAAATATTCTATTAAGAATGATGGCAGAAAAACATGATTAAAAGTTACAATGATTGTCACCCTATTTATAAGCTAAAACTAGGGTTACTAGAATAAGATAAAATACTAAAATACCCTCTAACAAACTTAGGGGCTAAGGAAAATAGTACAACTAAATAAATATGAATTACTATTAATATTCTAATACTATCCCTTAATTCATATTCCATCAAAACTTGTAACACCAATTCCATCCCTTAGTCTAAGAAATTGATCAGTCTTGATAGCTTTCGTCAGAACATCTGCCAACTGCTTCTGAGTGCTGCAGTGTACAACTTCTAACACTCCACTCTGAACTTGATGTCTCAGAAAATGATACTTGGTCTCAATATGCTTGCTTCTCCCATGCAACACTGGGTTTCTGGCAAGATTGATTGCAGACTTGTTGTCGATCATCAACTTCAGAGGTTTGTCTACTTTAATCTTCAGATCCTGCAACAGATTCAGAATCCACACAGCTTGGCATGCAGTAACAACACCTGCAATGTATTTAGCTTCACAGGTTTACAACGCCACAACAGGTTGCTTCTTGGAACACCAAGAAATGGAACCTCCCAGAAATTTGAACAAGTACCCAGATGTACTTCTTCTGTCAACTCTGTCTCCACACCAATCAGAGTTTGAATAACTCAGAAGTTCTGACTCATTATTTCCTCCAGAGGGAAATAACACTCCATACTTCAGAGTTCCTTTGATATACCTCAGAATCCTGACAGCAGCTTGGTAATGGGACCACTTAGGTTTACTCATGAACCTACTAACCATCCCAACTGAGTAGCAAATATCAGGTCTGGTATTGCACAGATACCTCAGAGAACCAACCAACTGTTTGAAGGTTGTAGCGTCCACATCCTTTCCTTCAAAGTCTGAATCCAGTTTCTGATTTGTATCAGAAGGTGTGACAGCCATCTTACAATTCTTCAGATCAAATCTCTTCAGAAGTTCTAATTCATACTTGAGCTGATGCAAAATGATACCTTTCTCAGAATATCTGAACTCCATCCCTAGAAAGTATGTCATTTTGCCTAGATCAGTCATTTCAAATTCATTCATCAGAACTTTCTTGAACTTGGCTATCTCTTGTTCAGAACTTCCAGTCAATAGTATATCATCAACATATAAACATACCAGAGTCATATTTCCTTCAGAAGTATGCTGAACATAGACACCGTACTCCATCTCACATTTCTGAAAGCCTTGCTTCTTGAAGAATGAATCAATCTTCTGATTCCAAGCTCTGGGCGCTTGTTTCAATCCATATAGAGATTTGTATAATCTGTACACCATCCCTTCCTGATTCTTTTTCACAAATCCAGGAGGTTGTGACACGTAAACTTCTTCTTCTAATGGACCGTTCAGAAATGCAGATTTTACGTCTAAATGCATCAGAGGCCAATTCCTGTTAGCAGCTATTGCAATCACCATTCTGATTGTTTCATGTCTTGCTACAGGTGCAAACACTTCAGAGTAATCCAGCCCAGGTTTTTGTAGAAATCCTCTGGCTACCAACCTTGCTTTATGTTTGCCAATTGAGCCATCTGGCTTTAACTTCTGCTTGAAAACCCATCTGACGCTGATGGCTTTCTTGTCTTTTGGAAGTTCTGTCAGCTTCCAAGTCTTGTTTCTCTCTATAGCATCAAGTTCTTCTTTCATGGCCTTCATCCAGAGCTTCTTCTTAAGAGCCTCCTCTGTACTTATAGGTTCAGAGTCTACCATCATGGCACACTGAATAACTTCTCCTTCAGAGTCTACTTCAGTGTCTTGCAGCATGTCAAATTCTGCAAATCTTCTGGGAACGCTTCTGATTCTTTGTGGTCTTTGAACTTGTTCAGAGTCTTGAGCTTCAGAGTTTCCAGCTTCAGATGGTTGACTTCCTCTAGAGCTTTGACCATCTTCAAGATCTGGCATATTTTCAGAGTCTTGGCCATCTTCAGAGTCTGAATTTCCACCAGAATCTGAATTACCATCAGAGTCTGGATCATCAGAGTCACCTTCATCTTCTGAGTCTTCTCCAGAGTCAGAATCACTATCAGAGTTTACTTCAACTTCAGAAATTCTTAACTCTGACCTTTCTTCAGAAGTTCTAACATCAGAATCAGATTGAGACTTATCCCAATTCCAAACTTCTGATTCCTTCACAATCACATCTCTGCTGAATTCAATTTTATTGGTTTCTGGACAATAGAGCTTGTATGCACCTGTACTGTGGTACCCTATCAGAATCATCACTTTGCTTCTATCATCCAGCTTCTGTCTTCTGGCTTCTGGAACATGTTTATAGCAAACAGAACCAAACACCTTCA